TCTTTATTGATTTCAGAGAGAGGAAGGGAGAGGGAGAGAGAGAGAGAAACATCAATGATGAGAGTCATTGATCGGCTGCCTCCTGCATGCCCCCGACTGGGGATGGAGCCCGCAACCCAGGCATGTGCCCTGACCGGGAATCGAACCCCAATTGCCTGGATCCTAGGAAGTAAGTTTTAAAAGAAACCAGCTAATGAGAGCTCTAGATTAGGCTCTGCTTTTTGACACTTGAAAAGACCAGTCAAATTTCTGAAATACGGGCATAATGAAACAGAGTTTTAACAACAGGCTTTTTAAATCACCTAGACCTCTATGGAAAATGTTTTTTTGGGGGGGGGGGGAGAAAAACCCAGGGCATTGTTCCCTAGAGCATCGTTACTATCGACAGTAAACCGATAATTTACTTTTTTATCTGCACATCCAGCCAGCCGTCCATCTAGCAAAAGATCATTGGCCTATAACATCTGAGGGTTTAAAAATTAATGACATTTCTGAAGTTTTGCTATCAGCCCCCTGAAAAAGTACAATTACTGAAAAAGTAGTTTCACATCTCAAGATGTAACTGGATATAGCACATAGGATACGGTAAAATAAAAAGAGTTTTAGAAGTGCACACATTTTAAACTTCAAGTAAATAATTGAAAAAATATATAATACCCCTAGAGTGATTGTGTTGATTAGATGCCTTTAGACTTCATAGTCATTGATAAATTAGTTTCTGTTGTATACAGATATAGATGTATTCATACACGTGCCACAAGGGTAAGTCATCAGGCAGAATTTCTTCTGAAATGACCATGGAAACCACAGGTGCCAAGTGGTGGCTAATTCTGCGAGGGTGACAGGTTTACACCGGGCTGTGTCATAGGAACGCTTCAGGTCTGTTCCTGAGTCCCTCCGTGTGGCCACCAGTGCTTTCATACTAACACGTGTGTATAAATTCGTCTTACAGCTCAGCAGTGACCTGGATGGTCAGCTACTGCTGGCCCAGTCCTTTTATTATTTCCTTTTTCTCCATCTCTTTGCAAACCCAGCAAGGCTTTTAAGCCCCGACAGTCAGTGCTGGGACTTTGGGGGACTTACACAGAAGAGATAGTCAATAAACACTTGAATTTAGAATTAAAATTTATAAATAAGAATTTTCTTACTTGTAGTACTATCACTTAAAAATAAAACCACTGTTGCCCTGGTGTGGCTCAGAGCTTAGAGTGTGGGTCTCAGGTTTGCTTCCCAGTCAAGGGCAAGTGCCTGGGTTGCAGGTTCCATCCCCAGCACCCTGGGTGGCATCCAGGAGGCAACCAGTTGATGGGTCTCTCTCACATCAATGTCTCCCTCCCTCCCTCC